GAGGCTCATCAATGAAAGAGAGAAAATCTTACGCCACGGCCACAAAGCGGAATTGTGCTACTCCGCGGAGCGGTGACTAAGAGCAGGGAGGGGAGTTTTCCTCTGTGTACGGCATTGGTGAGACTGAAACGCTGCGCCGGGGGCGCTGGAATGGGGGGGGGCCCATGGCCCCATCACTTTTTACCGGGCAAGCGACAACAGGGAGGGGGCAGAGAGGAGTGAATGGGGGGCGGGGTCTTGGGGGGAAGAGGCAGCACAGGGGTGGGGCCTTAGGGGAAGGGGCAGCACAGGGGCGGGGCATCGGGGGAAGGGGCGGCACGGGGGGGAGGCTGCGCCTAGTTCTGGTGTGTGCAACAAAGGACGTGGCAATATTGGAGTGGGTAGAAAAGAGCCACGAACATGATTCGAGGGGCTGGAGAAAATGCCTTTAGTGAGACACAGAAGGAGCTGAATCAGTTTCTCAAAGAGATCAAGAGGTGACTTGCTGACACCCTTCGTGGGGTGGGGGTGGGGGAACCCCGGGTTCTAAAGGGTGCTTTGATCTAGTGCAGGAACGCAGAACAAGAACAAACAATAAGGCCAGACAGGACCATTAGACCATCTAGTCTGACCTGCTGGATTTCACAGGCCAGGGAATGTCACCCAGTTATCCCGGCATTGAGCCCTATCACTCTGCTAGGCTACAGAAGTCCTTCCTGGAAGATACTTTAGTCATTCTCTGCACTCTGCGACGTGCTCCGTAGACTGCCTGCTTTAGTCATTCTCGCCACTGAGCACAGCGGGCTGTCATCAGTAGGGACCAGAGTGAACACATACTTCTGATGAGCCACAGCAAAAAAGGAGCAAATAATACTCCACCACCAGCATTAGCTCCGGAGGGTTCGAACACTGCAGTGGGCTAGCCAGGGGCTAACAGCTTTCTCCCACAGCCAAGTCAGACTGTCTGCAGACTCAGGCAGGTAGCGCTGCCTGGGTGACCCTTGGCTGGCAGCTTCCATAAAAGGCTAGAAGCGGAGATTCCGTGGCACGATTCTGTGACCATGGGGCAGAGTCTGGGGCTTCATGGGATCCGCTGGGCCCTGCTTGCGCATTGTGGGGTGAGACCTGACCCAAGAGGCAGGTGTTTCAGACACAGACCAGCTCAATCTCACCAGACCGACCAACGTGTTCACTGAGCCGCTGGCAAGATTTTAACAAGAGGCTCCCACAGCAGCTGCCCCCTCAGTCTGTGATTAACCCAGGGCAGCCGGGCTGCGCTTCCCCCTTGGAACAAAGAACCCTCTGTCTGCCATGCAGAACAAAGGGCTGAGAGCAAACGGCCTTGGCAAGCGGCTGTGGGAGGGGCTTTCCTAGGAACTGGGAGGGGCACAGCTAGCGCTGGAGGCTGGCAAGGAATGGGGGTGTGAGTCGAAGGCTTTGGAAAGGGGATAATCCTGGGGCGGGGGCATAACCCCTCCTTGGGGAGGAGGCAAGGCTCTGGAGGGGGCAATGTTGGGGGGCATATTCCCTTCGGGGGGGTAAAGGCTCTGGAAGGGGGTAACATATCTCCTCATGGGGACTGGGGGTGGGGAGGAATACCAAAGGAGATGTATTCTCTCCTAGAGGCAGTGGTGGCAACGGGTCTGAGGGTGGTAATCCGTGGGGGGGCAGGAGGAGGGGGTGTATCCTACTTCTGGGAGCTGGAAGGGGGGGGGAAGGCCCAACCCCCAGCAGCAGAGCAATGACCCACACCTCACGTCAATCTGGCCATGGGGTTTCAGCAAGGAGCTCCCCAGAGGGGAGGGGAATGCTTTACAAAGGGGGGAAATCACTGTGCTTTTCAGAGGGGGAAACTGAGGCACGGAGCAGGAAAGGGGCGTGTCCGAGGTTGTGGAGTAACACAATGGAAAAGCTGGGAAGGATCCCAGGCCCCCTGCTCTAACACTGTAGCCCATTCCCCTCCCAGAGCTGGGAAGGGAACCCAGGAATCCTGCCTCCAAGTCCTATGCCCTATCCGCGGGGCCAGGCCACCCCAGTACATAAGCCTCCCTAGGATGTGGCATAGTCTCCCCTGGGACAAATACAAGCCCCATGCCAGGAGATGTCCCCAGAGATGGGATGATGCCCTGGACCTAGGCAATATGCTCCTCACCTGCCATTTCTCACGTCACACGTGGGCCGCCTCCGGCCTGGGTCGGGGCTCTGCAGTCGTGATATTTACCTGGGTCGAGCCGTAGCCTCCTCCGTAGTACCGCTGCTCCGTCAGCCACCGGACAATGGGCCCCGTCAGCTCCAACCTCTGCTGCTTCAGCAAGGCCAGCAGGGCATAAGAGGTGGATTCGATGGAGTAGAGCCGGGACTGGGGGTCGGCCCAGTGTGTTCCCCCTGCGGAGCAGCGAGGGACCCGCCCCGTCACCTCCACAGCCGGCAGCTAGCGCGGAATAGCCCGGTGTGGCTGGGAGCAGGGAGGGGTATCGGGTGGGCCCGTTGTCCTGATTTTGGGGGCAGGGAGGCAGGATACCAGGTTGGATGGGCCCATTGGTGTGATCTGATGGTGTATCGGGGAGAGACACAAGGCAAGGTGGGGCTATTGGTCTGATCTGAGGTGCACAGGCGCTGACAGCCCTGGAGCACCCCTGGAAAAAAAAGTGGGTGCTTAGCACCCACGAGCCACAGCTGTTCGGCGGCACCCCCGATCAGCTGATCGGAAGCGTTCCCGAACAGCTGATCGGGGGTGCTGCCAAACAGCTGTTTGGTGGCTGGGAGGGGGCAGAGAGCAGCATGCAGCGGGCGGGCGGGCGCCTTGGGGAGGGGGCGGAAAGAGGCAGAGTGAGGGTGGGGCCTCGGGGGAAGGGGAGGGTGGGGGCAGGGCCTGGGGCAGAGCGGGGGGTGAAGCACCCGGGGGAAAAGAAAAACTCAGCACCTATGCTGAGGTAGCAGGAGATACCAGGCCCATGGCTCTGACCCAATGCAGCGCTGGGGGAGATCTCAGCCCAGCTGGGCCCGTGGGTCTGATCCGCACAGCGAAGGCGAGGGGGGATACGAGGCTAGGCAGCCCAATGGCTTGCTCTGGCTCAGCGTCTCTCCTGCTGCCCGGCTGAGATGCAGACGTGGGTTCTGGAGCCAGAGACTCGCTCACCCGTGGAAAGCGCCATGAGCCTCTCTCCTGCTCCGGCGTGGCCCAGCAGCGCCAGCGCATAGGACGTGATGGCCACGGAGTAGGGTTTCTTCAGGTCTTTCAGGCGCCTTGCCAAGTAATCTCCAGCCTTCGTGATGCTTCTATCCAAGCTCTGGAAGACACCGAGACCCCGGAGCCCACATTAGAGCCCAGAGGGGAGACAGTGTCAACTGGGGAAACTGAGGCACGGGGAGGGGAAGTCATATTTTCCAAGGTTAAATGGTGAATCTGCAGCAGAACTAGAATAGAACCCAGGGGTCCTGACTCCCAACCCCCCTGCTCCAACTACTAGACCCCACGAATCTTGACTCCCAGCCCCTTGTCCTGACTACTAGACCCCCACTCTCCTCCCAGATCATCCTGGGATAGAACCCAGGAGTCCTGTTGCCCCGTCTCTTCTCACCCCAGAGTTGGGAATAGACCCCAGGAGTCC